CCTTTGTTTGGATGCTTTAAGCAGAAGTAAAAAAAAAAAAATAAAGTGATGTTTTAACTGTTACCTGTAAGCTTGAACATCAATATCTCCTTTCAGATAAATCAAAGGCAATGGCACTGATTCAGTAGAGAAGACTGGAAAAAGGAGAATATTTGCCTTGGCACATAGGAAGCTGCTATCAGATCATTGCAGATCAATGCAAAAATTTGCTTTGCGTTTTACTCCAGTTTATACAAGTGGATCTGCATCTGCATTGAATGGGATCCTTAGATAATACAGGCTTTCTGTAACCTCATCTGCATTTTGTCTCTGACACCTTGTTAAGAGCACTAATGTCCGCTTGTCTAAATGGTGAAGTTGCATTACCATTATTACCATGTTGCATTGCCCATCAGAAATTATAGAGTTTAATTACTGGTTTAATTTTTCTAAATAATTAATTAAAAATTTAAACTGGGAATAAACATTATCTTAGGCAACAACTATGTCATTGCAGCTTCCACTTAAAAATAAAATATTCTTAATTGTAAAACTGCCAGGGAAGCCGTGGGTTTCATTACTGATCTTTTACTGTTTTTATTGTGTCTCCTTGGAAAACACAGAGATGTTAGCTCCCTAATTTGCAATTTTTATTGAACTGAAAATTCAGTGCCATTGTGTATAGTTAACAACAGTGTTGTAACAGTAATGTTTTTATTATTACTACTTTTAACTGAGAAGTTGTACTTGAGTATTATTTTAATATATAGGTAGCAGGTGTGCAGGTCAAATCATGCTCTACATTTGTGCGGCTGTGAAGGGGTGAAAGGAGTGTCACCTCCTAAGGCTGCTTCAACGGCTGTATTGCGTGCTCATTAAGCCTGGTGGTAGTCCCCTTAGAAAGGGGAGAACTTCTGCACTAAGAAGGTATAAATAAGCCCCTAAACACAGATTACAGGGCAGTGAAAGTTGTTCATGCTGCCTTATCACCCCCTTCACCCCCCTCAATTCCCCAGCTGTTATTGCAATTGCAATAAACTCCAAATATGGGTGAGAATGGCTGGCATTTTACTGACAATGGTGTTTGAAGGTTATTTAGGGATTCATTGCTCCTTAATTTTGCACTACTTCAGCCAAGATGCCTGTATTTGAGAATCTTGAATTGTCATTAACGTTGTCCTATAGTCATATATTTGTCTCTTTCTCTGACAAAAATAGCCTAGAAGCCTTGTTTAACAGGTCTAGGGGAAAAGGAGAGTGACAGTGTTAATCCTTTTGTCTGCGAATGGAAAAGGTCTCAGTCTGTAACGTGGACTACCATTCAGGCAGCTCATACAACCTAATTCTATCCCTGTGTGGTTTGCTGCTTGTAAGAATTTTAAACACCTTTTTAGAGGAAGGAGTACTTAGAGACGTGGAGCTGAATGGAAACTAGGTGGAAATTAAAAATTTATAAAGGAAAAGCAAGTTGTGCCCAACTAATTTTGTTTCTATCTATCTTTTGAGAAGGTGATTGAGCTTCAGGTAGTAGATCTTTTCTTTGTGGAATCTCATAATGTACTTGATACAGTGAACTATGGAAAGTTAATGTTTCAATCTAAGAAAATGGACTTTGATGCAATAATGGTAAAAATGAACAAAGGACTTGCTAAAGCAGAGGCAACAAGGCACTTGTTTGGAAAGAGAAGCTATGGGTCAGGAGGAAGATGATTTGTAGAGTTTCTCAAGGATCAGTCTTGAGTTTATTTCTTAATTATTTTGAGCAATTGGGCTACTGAAATTTTCTGCTGACAGTTTGGCTGTTATTGTCACTGCATAAACAGGAGGAAATACAAAAAGCTGGTTGAGCAGATGGGCTTCCAAAAAAGTAGACATTAAATTCATGATTGCAGAGTTCAGGGTCATGCAGCCAGGAGCTAAAAATTTGTGCAGCGAGTCATGAGCTCATTAAATGCAAATAATTGAAGAAATTAAATTCCTAATCTAAGAGTCACAGAAGGAAAATCCCGTATGATACATACATAAAGTTGTGGTCGCGCAGCTTCAAGGAAAAGTTATTTCATATGGGAACAGATGCAAAAGAAGTTTATTAGGACCACACAATGAGAGGAATTTTTTTTTTGTGAGAGGAGATTAGAAGAATTGGCTTGTTCAGGTTAGTAAAATAAATTCTGATATGTCTGCTACCTATGAAAACATCAGAGAAGTAAACACCAGGGAACGAAATATCTATTTAAATTTAAAATTGTCAAAAGAATTAATAGTTGTAAAAATTCTACGAATAAATTCAGACCAGCAATCCAAAGACCATTCCAAATCATGAAAAAGATGAACCTCTGTAACTTTGTTTTTCCATAAGAGCCATGGATGTGAAAAAACAAACTACTTTTAAGACAGAATGTGATAAATCAAAAAATGGGATTATGAGAAGTGGTGTTGTATGGGTTTCATCCAGGAAGTCCTGGCAAGTCCTGTGTATGTCTTATGGTCCTAGAGGGATGTTTATTGCTTGTCTACTGCTCAGCTGTCAGTGACATAACTTAATCCACTGGAGAGCCCAGAAGTGAAAAAATAGCCATTGCCCAGAATTGCAAGAAACTGCTCCCTGCAGGCAGATCTTTGTGAACTGTATCCCACTCATTTATGTAGTCCTGAGTTAGTTATCAGAATTAAATTAAGTTGTAAGACTCATGGCTTTTTCCAGTAATTTTCATAATCTTAGCCACAACAATTACTGGCACTTGACTGTAGATTCTGTAGTGTGCTTCTGTCTGATTAGAGAGAGATTATGTATGACAAGAAAAAATGTGATGCATCTTCTACTTGCTTTCTCACACCTACAAGCTGGACAAACCATATTGTGAACATTGACATACATGTTAGATACTATGAAAGGATCAAAAAGCTTGAAAAGCCATAGTTTCAGAAGGCAGGAAAGTCAGAAAGGGAAGCTGTGCTTGCCTTCATCACTCTGCCCAGAAAGGCAGAGTTAATTTTTTTTAAATATTTTTTTTTATTTTTTGGTAAGCAATTCTGCTCCATATTTCTCAGTTATGCACTGGCCAGGCATCATCTGAGCAGTTAGATAAGAAGGTGACTAGGATGTTGGTGGCACTAGATGTCTTGTCTATATTAGTTCTCTAGCTACTAATGGAACTGAGAGGTAGAAATTTCAGTAGCTGAAAAGTTAGGAAATACATCTGTTGTGGGTTAACACTTATAGGCAGCTGAGGCTCATACAGCTTTCTCAGTCCCCCACAGCTGCTTGCTCAGTCTCCCACAGCAGGATGGGGAGAGAATGGGAAAGGCAAAAGTGAGAAAACTTGTGTGTCAAGATGAAGATGGACGGGAATATCACAGATGCTACCAAGCTGAGTGGTACAGTTAATAAGCTTGAGGGAGGGGGTGCCATCCAAGAAGACCTTGACAGGCTCGAGGAGTAGACTTGTGAAAGTCAACAAGGCCAAGTGCAAGATCCTGCACCTGGGCTGGGTCAATTTCCAACATCCATACAGACTGGGGCATGAATGGATGGAGAGCAGCCCTGCTGAGAAGAACTTGGGGGTACTGGTGGATGAAGTTGAACATGAGCTGACAATGTGTGCTCACAGCCCAGAAAGCCAGTTGTATCCTGGGCTGCATCAAAAGAAACATGGCCAGCAGGTCAAAGGAAGTGATTCTCCCCTTATACTCCACACTTGTGAAATTCCACCTGGAGTCCTGCGTCCAGCTCTGGAGCCCTCAGCACAGGAAAGACATGGACCTGTTGGAGTGGGTCCAGAGGAGGGACACAAAAATGATCAGAGGGCTGGAACACCTCTCCTGTGAGGACAGGCTGAGAGAGTTGGGATTGTTCAGCCTGGAGAAGAGAAGGCTCCAGGGAGAATTTATTGCAGCTTTTCAATATATAAAGCAGGCTTATGACAAAGATGAAGAAAAAGTTTTTACCAGGGCCTGTATAGACAGGACAAGGGTTAATAGTTTTAAACTGAAACAGAGTAGATTTAGATTGGACATAAGGAAGAAATTATTCACAATGGAGTTTATGAGACACTGGAACAGGTTTCCTAGAGAAGTTGTGGATGCCTCATCATGGGAAGTGTTCAAGGTCAGGTAGGATGGGGCTTTGGACTAGGTGACTTTAAAAGCCCCTTTCAACTGAAACCATTTTGTGATTCTGTGATTCTATGATTGCCCATGTAATACAACAGCACAACTGTCCATAGAATGTTCTCATTTTGTTATGTATTTCATGATCCCTTTGCTAACACATCAGCTATTTGATACATTCAAATTCCTTACTTCCTTCCCCTTTGTCTATGCCACAGTATAATTTGCATTTTTTCAGTAGAATATATTTTGCATTTTAATGATGTTTCTAAACATGTTTTTACTGAAAATTATGTAATGCTATAAAATGGAGAAACACAAACTACAATGTGGCTAAATGTAGCCTAGACTATTATAAAGGACTTAAAATTAAGCCTACAAGGATGATAAATTGCAATAAAGAAAATAATGAAACAAATACACATGTCCATTAAAATTTATAATCAAAAGTAAGCAATACTGGATACCAAAGACAGAATTCTTGATGTAGTAAATTTAGTAGGAGAGATTTTTCCCAATGAACAAGTTCTATAAAAAATACTAAGATGCTTTTCAGTTATCAGGCAAGTTTTCTAAAGTGGCCAAACTGAAAGCCAACTTTTCTAGTTTCAACTGAGGTCAGCAGGTATCTCACTTCTGGTAGAACCAAGATCTTTACAGGTCTTTGCTCCCTCCTTTCAAACTCTTGCCAAAAACATTGCTGATTAATGGAAGTCCATATGGGTGCAACACAGCATTATTGCCTCCCCCTCCCGCCCCCTAGTGATTACTGCAGAAAATATTTATTAATCACTTGCTCGTCATCACATTAAGGAGGTTTTTTTCTTTGCTAAACTGAGTATGCCTTTTATTTTTACCTTCTCTCTTAATTTTTTTTTAATGCACTGATTTTAATTATCTTTCCCTCACAGGCTGCTTAAAAAACCTCAGAGTTCTCAATGTGAGTTTCAATAATTTGAAGTCAGTCCCTCCAGAACTGGGTGATTGTGAGAATCTGGAAAAACTGGATTTGTCTGGAAATATGGAAATAACAGAGCTCCCATTTGAAGTAAGATAACAAACTATGTGCAATCTTTTTTATTTGTCTTATAAAGTATTTTATCAGTGTCTTACATATCTTTGCCTAACAGATTAAAACACATTCCTTACAGTTTTTAGCAATAGTGTTTTAGTAGTAATATTACTGAAAATGTCTTAGAAGCTGTTAAATGGGACCAAGCTTCTTTTTTTTTTTATTTCAAGTGACTAAATTTTGCTTGTGTTTATTCTGATATATGAAGGAGGACCTGATCCCAAAGGGGATATGGCCAGTGTTGATAAGAAGGCGGCTGCAAATAGCTATTTTCTGTGAAATTAAAGTGCATCTTGACAGTAAAATTCACACATGAACTTCATTTGTTCTCAGCGTCTGTTTTCCTTTAAAAACAGTATGGAAAATTCTATAAACAGCACTGCATGTTCCTGTGAGCACAAATATCTGTCTGAAAGGGTCATTACATATGAGACATGGTATGAATATATAATAAAGACTGAGAAAAGGACTGCCAGGCATGAACCAGCGTTGATTCTTGTGTTGGATGCATAAATGCCCTCTGCCACAGCTGCTCTGAGACTTATTGTTCATGATGAGATTAAACCATTGACTAGTACTAACTACAGTTTCAGATGTCATGTGTATTTCTCAGGTTCTTAATAACCTGATTCCTGGAGGATGAGTTGGGGGTTTTAGAGATAAGTGTCAGGCTCCTCTTTATTGACTCCTGTTTTTTTCTCTAAACATCTGTCACTCGTGATTTACAGACAATGTTGGAGTGGATTAAACTTATGTGAGGTCTGGTTTGGCCATGCTTATGTTTTGAAGAAATGCAAACTGATTAACTTTTGTCTCTGACTTTTCACTGTAAGGTAATTTATCTGAAAAGAATTGTTAAAAAATTATGTGAAGGAAACAGAAAAAAAGGCTGAACAGTAGCTTCACATCATAAGTGGACACTGCATAGAAAAATTCACAACACCACAAACAGAGAGAGACCTCTCTCTCTCCTTCCTCTACTCTCCTCTCTCCTTCCTCTACTCCTCCTTCAGATAGCAAAGATAGGGGACAAACCAGATAAAAATTAACTGTTAAAATGGAACCATAATGTAATGAGAAAAACATATATCCTGAACAGGCAAAAGAATTAAATATAAAGATCTAGGGAAAGTGAGTGCATTCAAACCAGTGGACTAGAACAGTGAATTTAGCCCCAGTCATTGCTATGTTAAAATCAACGAGTATTTTCCCAGTTGCTTCTAAAGGCCTTGTAGTGCAAAGGCTTACCCATGTCTATGCATTATGGGCAGCCTTCGCATGTCAACCTGACTGTGCATGTATGTCTTTCCAGGGATGAGTCCTAAGAGACCAGTGTTTCTCTTGGAAAGCTCAAAAATGTTCCCTTATGCCAGTGTCCTATTCAATAGGTTTGAAATCTGCTAAAAGTGAATGGCTGCTACTGGGCAACGGTTCACTTTCAATCTATGGAAAAAATCTGGACCTGTGCAGATGACTTTACATAACACCAAAAACCTTAAGCAACATCATGTCAGCATGGTCCAAAAGGTCAAGAAGAAAAATATTGGCATTGTCTATCGTGTTTCCTTGTTTCTCTGGAGGCCAGCACTTAATTTATACTTGCAGTGACCTAGGAGGCAGGTTGCACAAACCTTTTAGTTTATAAAATTAGTTTCCCAGAATGAACATTTCAAGGGCAGCTTTGGAAGCTGAGTATACAGTTAAAAGAACACTTTTGTCAAAAGATTTAAAATGCTGCAAAGTGTTTGGCCTTTGGTGTACTTAATAGGGTTGATATTATTCAGAGCAATTGCATCAGTAGCCTTGCTAATGTAATAGATGTCTGATGTTTGATTTTCAGATGGGCAAAAGCTGGTAGTCACTGGCAGATAACTATTTAATGAATTAAAATATTGAATTAGCCTGAGCAGTCTAAAAAGGGAAAACAGAAAGACACTGTAAAGTGTTGTAGTGGGCTTACCTTGGCCAATAGCTAAATGCCCACCCAGCTGCTCACTCCCTCCCCCTCCTTAGCATGACATAGGGAGAAAATAGGATAAGAAAGCTCATGGGATGAGATAAAAGATAGGGAGATTGTTTACTGTTTAGTATTGCAAGCAAAACAGACTGTACTTGGGGAAGATTAATAGTTGGCAATATGTATTTGGATAGTGAGAAACAAAGACATTCAAACAACATCTTTTCTCTCCCAATGTAAACCTCACTCCTTCACTCCAGATTCCTCCCCCAGGCCTGAGCGGTGCAGGACGGCTGGGGGAGTTCTAGCCAGTTCACAGTGGTTTCTAGCTCTTTCTCCTTCCTCCTCCTACTTTTTCTCTGCTCCAGCATGGAGTTTCTATGGGCTGCATTTTCTTCAGGAATATCCATCTGCAGCAGCATGGGTCTTCCACAAGCTGCAGTGTGGAGATGTAGTCCACCACGGAGCACCTCCTTTTCTTCCTGCTTGGACCTTGGTGTTCCCTCTGCTCCTTTTCACCCTTTTTATTTTCTCCCTCTTTCTCTGGTGTTTTTTTCCCCTTTCCTATATAAATTTTTACAGTGGCATCACACACTTGGCTGAGGGGCTTGGTTGTGTCCTGTGGTGGGTCCACTGGAGCTGGCTGGAACTGTCTGTGTCCCCCATGGGGCAGCCCCCAGTCTCTTCCCACAAAGGCCACCCTGAAGCCCCCACACTGACAACACCTTGCCATGGACACTCAATGCAAGTATTTATGACCCCCAGTTAGACAGATTAGGTCAATTATTGCATAATACTATTGTTGCTAACAGCTACTAATTCAGTGAAATGCTCATAAGGGTTGGTCATCATTCTCTCCTGTGGTGTGAGTACTGGGAACTGGAGAGTGTAAACGAGCACAGAATCACAGAATCATTAAGGTTGG